TTCTCTAAAACCGAAAGGGAGTGAAGAGAGTCGGGGGCAAACATGCGGCGCGTTTCATCCGCGTGAGGCGGACCTAACTTCCAAAGAGAGACCGCCGAAAGAAAGAGTCCTCGAGCGTGGAGACAGAGGGTGCAGAGAGATCAACGGAAAAAGAAAAAGGAGAAAAAGGGAAAAGCGTCGAGGGATGCTGCCGGAGAGGAGAGACAAATTGCCGACGACGCGACGTATCGAGGCGCGAAATTGAGCAAGAGCACATCGATCGTGTACATTGCGCTCCCTTATACTGCCACGCTGCTCTCTGACACGACACAGAGGGACACGCGAAACGAAAAGAAAAAAGAAAAAGGACTCTTCCAACGAGGTGACACCCTTCATTTTCCCCTCGAAAATTTTCCTCGCTTAATAATAAATTACCATCCATTTCTAACCTCCTTCGAAAATGTTCGAACATGAATCTGAATGTATCACTCTAAAACGTTCTGAGATTTCACTCACAGGTGAGACGATAAAATTCGAAATTAATTTGAAAATGTATATAAAAGCTGTGGGACATTTATTGCAATATATATGTTTAATAAGCGTATAATATGAAGTTGTATAAAATTATTTAAAGCTTGTATGCCGCAATCCATTACGTCAACAAGCATACTCACAATCAGTGGGACCTCATATTATATATGATGGCTGTTCATGCTGACTTTTTTTACTATACATGTATATTTGCAATAAATATCTTGTGATTTCTATATATATTTTTACATAGTTTTGAAATTTCGTCTCTCATTATTGTGACAGCGAGATTTCAAAATACTTCGTGTAATGAACATAATATAATTGAATAAGTTTCTACGTATACTCCACGTATACTCGATCTGAAGTTTATCTTCAAAATTACGAATAATTACAACAATTACATCGACCGATTGGTCTTGGAATATTTGGACTAGCATTACAATAAATGTAGTAAGTAATTCATTTCCTGATCGACTAGACGATTTTCTTTTCTTTCGAAGTCAAAGATTACATAGTTTGACACTATGCATAATTTATTCCCGCTTTCTCATGTATATATTTATTATTGTCTCTGCATTTAAGAATCGCAGACAAGGGACATGACAAGTCACACTTCCTGCCTTTCACAGAACAGCGATTTTAAAATTCAGCACACCGTTCAACAAATTTTTTGCATCTGACTCTACGGCCGAGCAAATATTTTGATTGAACGAGGACGTGAATTTGCACAAATATCCGCAGTCTAATTGTGAATCATCAAGGGAAAAGAGACCACTGTCGAATGTACCAATATCGAAACAAGAGAGAGAGAGAGAAAGGGAGACCAACTCATTTCGTCTTTACAACACTCAGTTCGAGTTGTAAAGACGAAACGGTCGAACTTCCTGAAAAACTAATCGACATCGTGACCTCGCCTATTGTACCACGTTGAAAAACAACGTGGCGAAAAAAGAGAGGAACGTGACTACATGGGAGAAATAACGCGGCTCGATATCGGGTACTTCTTATTGGTTTGTTTTGATCGCGCTGGAATTACATCAGAAATTCAAATGACCAGCGATGGAACAAGTATTGTTAAAGCGGATAGGAGACGTCGGCTACGTAGAATATGTGGACGAACGGCCGAGGAAAAGGGGAACAATACGTGGGATGATGAAGCGCGTAAACAAGACACGTGTTTACCATAACCGTAGATCGATCGCGACTCAAGAGCCGTGATAAGCGATAAGAGAAGTCTGCAAACACGAGGCAATCCCCAGCTCTGAAATTTTTTGCCCGTCAACCCCCTGCTGGCTGCAAGGTCGAGCAAATTAAAGATAAAAACGAGGACGGAGGATAACGAATCGTCTCTTGCTTTTTCATTTCGAAAATAGCTCCATCTTGCGTTTAAAGTTATCTTTCATTTCAGTTGATTTTCACTGGAGCAAAATAGTAACAAATAATCTAGTAGCGTAGCAAGGCAAGAAGGCTGAGAATTTTTAGATTACTATTATTGAACAAACCTCTGTAATAATCTGATCTGCAATGTATTTACTTGTTCTTGAATACGTTCGAACTCGTGTGTTTAAGCGTTCAATAAAATCAGAAGCTATTTGAGAAATTATTTATAAAATAGATACGAGATGCTGGATGAGAATGAAGAATTACTTTACTCGATAGCTAAATAATGAAACGATCATTTGCTCGTTCAATAAATTAGTACGAGGCCATCGAATAAAATGTATTATTCAATCATTTTCTAATACATTATCTGTGATCGCTAATATATTATCTCGTTTAGTTAGAGATTATTAGATCATCTTATTTAGCTGGACATTTTATTTAATTCTTTTGGACGTGAGGATAATTTTCTTCTACATTGTACAGAATAACTAAATTCTTTGTATATCAATGAATAATCTCGTCACATTACTTATTATTTTATTTGAATAATCGAATCAACCCGACCAAAAAAAAAAAAAAAAAAAAA